TACAGGGCAACATTATTAATGAACTACATGAGTGTGCCAAGAATATTGTGCTGATGTGGGTGCCTGGGCATTGCAACAGTTGGGGCAATGAACAGGCAGACAGATTAGCAAAAGCGACTGTGGGTCTCAGGGAGACAATTAATGTACCCTGGGAGCGTCAGTCGTGTCTCTCCTTGGGGAAGACATATACAATTGGGAAGTGGCAACTTGATTGGACGAGGTTAGATCTTCACAACAACTGGAAGACTAACATAGGAAACTGGCTTTCAGCATATAGAAAGAATAGGAGGGAAGAGGTCGTTCTCGCCAGACTAAGGCTGAACTGTACCTATTTGACCCACCTAAAAGCCTACCTTGATAACTCCTTTCCACCTATCTGTGCCACGTGCAACAAAATTCTCTCTATCCGACACATTCTGACTGAGTGCAGCCAGTACGAACCAGAGCGCCGGCAGCTGGTGATCCTAGCTGCCGAGCGAGGCTTCGTGCTGACTGTACCCAATTTATTGCAAGATGATGTCACCATAAGTGACGCTGTAATAATCTTTCTCAAGGAGACCCATCTTATCGGCATGTTATGATTGACACACGCATGAACTTTTTAATATTTATAATATGTATGTAACCATGCCCTAAAGCAAATAAAAATGAATAAAACAAAAATTTAAACATACAACATGAGAGACACATCACAAACCTTTTCATTACATACAACACGCACATTTATCAAGTTAAACTGACACCCACCAACACATATTTAAACAAAAAGACACGGGCTACAAAAGACAAAATAAAAAAAAATAAAAAAAATAAAAAAAAAATCACAGAGAAACTAGTCACCTGGTCGGCCATTTCATCTGGTCTGTCAGCAACTCACTATCATATCACTCACTCATACCATAATTCATCCCAAATAAAACAACAAGAAGAAAGAAGTAACCAAAATACCAAGAACAAGAAGAACACAAGAATAACAAGAAAAGAAGAAACAAGAACAACAGATTAGTTGTAGTAAGAAAGAAGACATCAGCTCCGGCCGAAATAGCCCAAAGGCGAAGAGGCCAGTAATCCCCCAATACCATCCATCCACCATTTCTCAGTTACTGATATTATCTTGACGTGTGTAGTTTAATATTTCTTAAACAATTTTGATAGTATTGTTTTTTGAATGTTTGTGTCACTAAGTGGAACCAGAGTGATACTGTGATTTGATTCTTTTAATGCATCTAATTTTTCTTCATAATTCCGATCTCAAGTATAACCTTTGCTCCCCAGAGTAGTGGTTAAGTTAGGTTAGGAAGTGTGCATCTGTTGGGGTGATATAATTTTGTTGAGTGCCCTTAAGGCCTATTCATTGTAGAGTATTTAATTTCTTATTTTTTATTACCATTTCCTCAGTGACTGATATTATTTTGTTGAAAGCCCTTAAGGCCTATTCATTGTAGTATTTAATTTCTTATTTTTTAATACCATTTCCTAAGTGACTGATATTTTTTTGTTGAAAGCCCTTAAGGCCTATTCATTGTAGAGTATTTAATTTCTTATTTTTTGATACCATTTCCTCAGTGACTGATATTATTTTGTTGAAACCCTTAAGGCCTGCATCTGTTGGTGTAACATAATTATATTGAGTGCCCTTTAGGCCTATTCATGGTGGAATTAATAATTTCTTATTTTTATACCACTTCCGCAGTGGTGGATATTATTCTGTGAAAGCCCTTAAGGCCTGTTTCATGTGTGCAAGCAACATTTCTTAATACTTCAAATTTATTGTTGCCTGAGTTTCTAATAATTTCTATATCATGTATAACTTTTATTCCCCAGAGTAGTGTTTTAAGTTCAAGTTAAGAGGTGCGCATATTGGTGTACCATTATTTGATTGTGTTTGTAGTGTTGGAGGGAATATAAGTGTCTAAATTTTACAGTGTGTCTCATTCATCCCAGTCACAGACGCTATCCTTCCACGGGTCACGGACAATTCATTTTGTTTAGTAGATTTAAGTGTTCTTGTGCTGGTTCGGGATTTTTCTCAAAGGGGCGCTTCCACTGCCATTACCATCTATTAATCTTTAATAAACCCCAAGTCAAGTGAGAAAATAAAGTCCAGTAAATTCCGACCGGTTACATATATATATATATATATATATATATATATATATATATATATATATATATATATATATATATATATATATATATATATATATATATATATATATATATATATATATATATATATATATAATATTATGCAAATATGCAAAATTAATTGTCACAGCTGCTTCAAGGTTACATAGCGCCAAAGTATTGTGCCCGGGGGCAGGATGTCTTCTGGAGCGTCCTCTTTTTTGAATGTTCAGATATGGCAACCCTAGCCATATACAATGTTGATATACACAGGCATACGTTATTTTTTGGTTAAAATAGATTAATACTCGTGTGTGTATTTACTTGCTGGGTGCCAAAATGATGCAAAAGGCCGATAACTCCAACATGGAAGTTTTCATTACTGTTCTCTATTTCATGTCTGGGAAATGTAAGTTGTCGTCACTATGTCTATAATTAATGTTGTGGAAGGACTAGGGACGACCATGGCCAGGGGATAGGCTTGAGATGATCAGATGACAGAGGTAATTTAACGTGCGTCATAGCTGGATGGCCGAGTTCTTGATAATACTCTATAATCATAAAGACATTTACTTTTGGTAAATTTCTTTCATCTGTCTTGATGAACCATGGAAGTAGATGTCCAACCTTCCCGGCTGATCGGCTCTGTAAATAAATATTATTAGATAATTAATTGTGCTTTACTGTGCAACACAGTAATACTACATTGAATATATAAATATTACTAAGCACATTAACTAATCCAATGGATATTAGCTGCCTATACAACAAATTTCATAGTATAAACATTCCAAGCAATATTGGTATTATTTTGGTTTTGGTCATCTGGGCAACCTTAAAATTCTAACTATAGGATTAAGTACTTTAAACATTAAGACACATTCTCCACGGGATTTATGTTCGCAAAATATTTTTCTATTGCATAACTTAACAGGTTAGGTTAGATTACGTTATATTATAAGTTATAAGGTTAGCTTAACATACATCGGTAATGGGGGGGTAGTAACTCAAAACTAGTGATTTCACGATAGAAGTGAAGGTCTAAATCGTCCATAACACATCGCAAACCATAAAAAAAAAGTCTGCATTTCTAAGTACAGGGATGACCAAAATTTAAAATTTACCCAGAAAACCTATCTCGAATCTAAGCATCCAAATACTTATGGTAGTTAAAGTAAAAGTTTATCCATTAATTAATATAAATTATGATATTTCCTAATGGATCATTAGTGAATCATCAAAACAATAACAGCACTATGTTGTCATGTTTACCTAGCATCAGGCATTCTCAAAAAAAACTGCAGACAATGCCATTACTTCTAAATTGAGTCGTATCTCCATCTAGTACTGATAGACTCTGTAAATGCACTGGAAAAAAAAAGAGAAAATTTACCAGGTAAGAATACATGACAGCTGAGCTGGTGTGAACATGGGAGTTTCTTATGTCCGCAAGCTGCTCTTCACAGTACATTTCTACACTTACGAAATGTCCGTGACTTAGACCATACAAAAATACCCTTAAAACTTACCTGAACGTGGCATTTGGCTGGTCTGAAGAAGCCATACTTTGTACTACCTCCAACTACAGCGGTGAGTTTGTTGGAGAACGTTGTCTGTGGGGAAACTGGTGACGTAATTGCAAATGGCGGTCCTGTTTCTAGAGAAATAAACTTATTTAAACTATTACTGCAGGATTTTAAGCTTTTATTACAAATTACATATACCGTATTACTCTACGGACGTGGCAGTGTATTTCTTGTTTTACTCAGTACCAACAACTCTTCCATTGTGTGCGAGGCAGATTTGTCAGTTCAGCAACCTTGTACTTAGTCACAATTTTTATGATGCCATATGGCAGCAGGACCTACCATTAGACAACACATTATGCTTCCAATATATTCCGAGGTGATAGTACCTCCCAGGGTTACCTAGTTGTGCACAGTATTTACGTATTTGGAACAAATTTAGTCAAATATTGAAGTGGGGTGAATGTACAGAATACCAATGAGTCATTTATAATTTTTGCAACGACTAGAATAGAGGTCATGCAGGTGTGATGCGCCTGTGGTGTCGAACCTCAAATGAAAGAGAGAGACTGGACTGGCATTCATTATGTAGGAGCTTTTACCATTCCGACAGAAGAAGTGGCGAAGTTTGGTTAGAATGAGTTCAGCGGACCGGTTTAATGAGTGCCTTTTTACTGGGCTGTTAGTGATGAGTGATCGCAAAAGCATATAATTTGGTGGCTTTCACGAAGAAAGTATTAAAGTCAAACACTTAACACCTCTCCGGATCCCTGGGTTGATGACTTTGTTCATAAAAGTAGGAAGTTGACAAGAGAGTGAGTGGTGGAGGAGGTCTTAATATTGTCAAATTGTTGAGGTCTGTAGAGCTACAATGTGAGTATAGTCAGAGTTAAAACCCAAGCAATTTAAGCTGGGAACCCAGGTGAAGTCGCTGGGTCTTGTTGAATGACGACTTCTGAACTTTGGTGATGGAAAAACAGAGTTTTGCAGTGAATGGGCCAATTTGTTTGTCTAAGAAAAACTATGATGATAGAGTTAGAGAATTTCACTTGTAGATAAGTGTGTGTGTGTGTGTGTGTGCGTGCGTGCGTGCGTATGTGTGTGTGTGGGTGTGTGTGCGTGTGTGTGCGTGCGTGCGTGTGTGTGTAAAAAAGTAATGAAATTTTTAAGGTACATGATGTCTAGGTATAATTTTCAGTCTGTAACAGAAGAATTTACCCGGGTGTACTGTGGTGGAGAGACTCGACTCGAAAAGGCGATGGTCAGCGTGATCAGTTGGCTCTATTTTTGCATGATACTTGCTTGCCAGCCCCCCCAACCTCTCCTCAATTCCCGTTTGGTCTCAGCGCTAACTGACCTGGTACCTTGCTTGCGGGTCACCTTCAGACGCGCTCCGGTGGGTGCTTGAGACGGTGGTGTTCTGGTGGTAGTGCAGTGAAGCGTGTCGTAAGTTATCCTGAGGAATATTGCTGTGTTGGAAAACTAGTGACTTTCTTCCGTGCTTCTGTTTGCTCTATTATTTCGTATATTTTCTATGTATTAGATTATTTCAATCAGTCCCTAAAATTGGTGTATTTGACAAATTTTCCAGGTATTCAAGGTGTGCTGTCACTTTATCAACAACGGAGGTGTAAGATGACAACAGTATCGTTAAATGTCTCCTCCTAGTAGGGTATTAGATTTATGAGCGGAAATTTTAAGTTCTTAATTATTCATTCAATATTCTTATTTATTTGCAAATTATCTGTCTGTTTCCACCTCGCAATAGTGAGGTGAATACATGCCCATAGGCCTCATCGCCCGTAAGGAGCAGTGTCGATGTATCAAACTGAAAACTAGGCCTTCGTTTTACAAAAAGGCGGTATGACCAGCACTGAACTCTAATGCTTTTCACTTCTCATCTGTAAAATTAGGTGCTCATTCAACAGCTCCCCACTCGGTGGCCATCCGCGGAACTCGAATCGGAATCGTTAGATTTGGAGGCAATTGCTATAAACATTTACCTTAACTGAGAAACAAGAATGAAAGGAAACCTAGTGTTTTCTCGAGAAGCATAAACAGATAAGAAGGTAGAAGCAAGAGAGTAAATAACACTTACTTGTAACTGCAGAAACAGACTTGTCAGTGGAAGAGGAACAACCCATCACGTCTACGGCGGTGGTAATTTTTATGATTGATATCGTGATTGTCGATTGAAAGAAAGGTCTATGTTGATATTTTAAAACGCTATCAAACAGTTCTTAAAAGGTTATATATTACCAATCTATTGTAATTTCTTCCTTGATAAACTACGTGTCACAACTTGTTATGAATGCAAGATTTTTTTCCGAAATTAAACAGTATTGTGCAAAAGTGAAAGTGAGTCTCATACGCCAGATAGTCGTTAGGTCTAGGAGGATACTATACTCTAAAGACATAGCCTTTAATAGGACACAAAAGGAAAGTGTGGGCAGCAATGCACTCGACCGCCGCTTCTCTAAACATAAAATTAAGCACCCATCCACAGTTGAGTGGACGTACAGTACCCCAGCGTAAACCAGCAACCAAATCAGTTCATAAGCTGGATTACAAATGTTGAAACATAGAGGAAATGTTTTCTTGATTGTCAAGTTCACTATCATATAAATTCAGGCTTATTGATCATATAAGAATTTTGTTAGGATTGGTAAAATAAGTATGAGTATTTTTGAGGTTCTGGAAAAGGAATTAAAGTATCTATTGTTTAAATGAAACCCCAAGTATTTGAATATAAAGGTTACCCGACCTTTCAGTTTATAAAATGTAAATCTCAAATTCTTGCACGGAGTCGCTTGCTTTGACAATATAGACTACAGCAGGAATGTTGTGTAACGTGGAGAGCTGACGTTTGTTTTATTTATTACTTTTTTTTTTACTTGCAGGAATAAACGAAAGAGCTATACCATCGAAGTTTAAAATCTGCTTCGACAACTTTAGGCACCCACCACCAGTATGCCCGGCCACGTGAAGAAGAGCACGGGTCCCGACCCTGACCCCTCCGAGTTCTTGTTCATCTCCAGGGAGATGAAGATGAAAGATCAAACTAAGCCTTATGACGCCAAGAAGTCCTGCTGGGTCCCTGATCCCAAGGAGGGCTTCGTTGAAGGCCTGATCCAAGGTACCAAAGGCGATCTCGTCACCGTTATGGCTAATGGTGAGACCAAGAGCTGGAAGAAGGACCTCGTTGGACAAGTCAACCCTCCCAAGTACGAGAAATGCGAGGACATGTCTAACTTGACTTACCTTAACGATGCCTCCGTCCTGTACAACTTGAAGAGCCGTTACGTCGCCAAGCTCATCTACACCTACTCTGGTCTCTTCTGTATCGCCGTCAACCCCTACAAGCGGTACCCCATCTACACCAACCGTACAGTCAAAATCTACCAGGGTAAGAGGCGTAATGAAGTGCCTCCTCATCTCTTCGCCATATCCGATGGTGCCTACATGAACATGATGCAAGGTGAATACTTTGCTTCCAATATGTTGCTCAACACATAAAGTTGGGGAAAACGAAATAGATGAAATGCATGGCCATATAACTCACATAAGAGAGAAAGTTGATATCATTCACAATGGCGTGTAAGCAAGTTACCCTTCTATTATCAACTGATTTCTATTTTTATTTTACAGGTGGAGAAAACCAGTCTATGCTTATCACGTAAGTCAACTTGAATTTATAAATGCAAGCACAAACAATGACGTACGGTAGTTTTCATGCATGTTAAATTTAGATAACAAAGAATTTAGCATTCTTAAGTTAGTTAACTTTGAAAAACATAATATGATTTGCATGTTTTTATAGTTTATATAGTCAGTTTTAAATGTAACTTGATGCATCTTTCAATAAAACTAATAATATATTTCCTACCACAGCGGTGAGTCTGGTGCTGGTAAGACAGAGAACACCAAGAAGGTACTCTCCTACTTCGCCAACGTCGGCGCCACCACCAAGAAGAGTGGCGAAGAGAGCAAACAGGTAAAAAGCATGTAAATTTTCTTGCACAAATTGGGACCTACTGTATATTAATGGATATTGTAATACAAGATAAAACTATTTCGCAACACAGACACACACACACACACATACTGTAGTTTGCTCCGACACGGTAGTAATAAAGCAACTCTCTCACTTTCACTTCAGAACCTCGAAGACCAGATCATCCAGACCAACCCTGTACTGGAGGCCTTCGGTAACGCCAAGACCACCCGTAACGACAACTCCTCCCGCTTCGTGAGTTGAACCATCTTCTCTTCTCTATAACCATAAAGTAGAAAATATTATTGTAACTTTCTGTGAAACAAAACTCTGTATTAAATTAGTGTTCATTTAATGTGTCTAACCCAAGTTTCATGAGGTCATGCCATCCGTTCTCTACACAGGGTAAGTTCATCCGTATCCACTTCCAACAAAATGGCAAGCTGTCCGGTGCTGATATTGAGGTCTACCTGCTGGAGAAGGCTCGTGTCATCTCCCAGCAGCCCGCCGAGCGTTCCTACCATATCTTCTACGAGATGATGTCCGACCAGATTAAGGAGCTCAAGCGTAAGTATTTATTTTTTATGACTCTTGTACTTTACTTATGTGTCCCCATTTTACATCAGTGTATAGGGAGGTATTGTATTAAAAAAAAAAAAAAAAAAATATATATATATATATATATATATATATATATATATATATATATATATATATATATATATATATATATATATATTATTTCATTAACCGAATAAAGCACGCGGACTTCTACATATAATCAACACCTCACCCCACCAGGACACTAAAAGCAGTCTTGGACTGCTTTTAGTGTCCTGGTGGCCCAGAGGTAACATTCCCCGGTCACAGTCTTAAGATCGTGGGTGGGGAACTGACTTTAGTGGTCCTGGTGGCCCAGAGGTAAAGTTCCGAGGTCACAGTCTTAAGATCGTGGGTTCGAATACTGGCGGAGTGAGGTGTTGATTATGTATATATATATATATGTTCTATTATTTTACGTTTTAGTACAAATAAAAATTGTATTTCAATTTATTTTCATCGTTATTATGAAGTGGGCATTAAGCCAGAAACTTCGACATTTCCGAGTGCCTTAAGATTTATTTTTTTGGATATTTTTTAGTAATACTTAATAACTATATAAAGGTTGTCCCAGTATGGCGTGTCCTGAGAAAAACATCGCTTCAGAGATAAACGAAACAATGACAAAATAATATTTTATAAACAAAATACTATTCTTCAATGCGAAATAGCTCTAAAATGCGATACGTACCCATTAGTTTTCTTACTAAAACTCATTTGTCTTCTGAGTAACACATTACAAGTACCAAATTGGTTAGTAGGCAATAATTTCCAATTATGACTGTTTAAACTATCGTGGGCTATGGGTGTTTGTCTGTTTGTCTGTCGCTTTGTCTGTACGTAAAGTAAATCTGTTTGTGTGTGTGCGAGTGTGTGTGTGTGTGTGTGTGTGTGTGTGTGTCCACACGACAATTGCACCATTAATATTTTAGGTATTCACATTGGCGTGACATTCTTTGCTCCTCATTTAAAAGATGTTTTCTAAATTACAGCAACAATATCGCAGCAACATTACTGTCTCCTCCGCTGATGAAGCAGAGAAAACTTCTGTTAAGTGAGTTGTGCTGTTGCGTAGTGCAGCTCCTATTATGGATTGGTTTGAATATCGAAGAATTCTAAGACGATTAATCGATATTCTGTCCCCTTTGCTTTATGTCTTCAGTTTTACAACACTCGTTTAAAGTCCAAACCTGAGAGAATAATCAGCCGGACTTTGATACTTTCTACTTTATAAATCTCGGTTGGATCTTTGAATTTAGCGGTGTGACTAAGTGTTCTCTCAGTGGCCACTTCTACTTACACTGTTAAAAGCTAACACGGAAGATAGCATATGACCACTTATCACATAATATTTTTTCCCAAGAAGGAATTCCTTAGTTTCAAGAAGGGATGCATAAGAAAAATGAGTCTTAATCATAGGGATCCATTACTCACACTTTTTCCCTTCTGCAGCCTCGTGTTTACTTAGTGACGACATCTACGATTATCACTACGTGTCTCAGGGCAAGGTCACCGTCCCCTCCATTGATGACGGCGAGGACATGCAGTTCTGTCACGTGAGTGGTTTAACTAGGTGTATTATCCGGCCCAACCACCGGTGTGTGTTTCACTGAAAGTTTACAATAGTTGCAATCGATATGCAATCACTGACTTATTAATTTGACAGTGGTTATTTACATAAATATATAATTGTGTCTCCCGAAAATCACGCCACAGCTAAATGAATCAATGAAGTTCCTTCTTCGTCTTAACCGTGTGTTTGTTTAAAACAGTCTGCAAGTAATGATGCAAATTTTTCCGTCTATGGATAAAGGTGTTTGTATATAATCTCTTATCATAATATATACTCATAAGTATTTTCCATTAAGTGTCTTGCTCGTTCTTAACATGTCAGGTTCCTTAAATCAATTTTGTATCTTGAATGGTTTAATGTGTCACAATTAAAATTTTGCAGTAGCAGCTGCAGATTTATAAGCTATGAACAATAGTTCCATATTCTTTGATTAATAAAGTTTCAGCTTTATTTCTTTATCTAATTTCAGGATGCCTTCGACATTCTTGGCTTCAACCCAACTGAAATTTCGAACGTCTACAAGGTCACCGCCGCTGTCATGCACATGGGAGAGATGAAGTTCAAGCAGAGAGGTCGCGAGGAGCAGGCTGAAGCCGACGGTACTGAGGTACAGTATTCAGTATCTTACTTTCAGTTGGTTCACTGAAGTACTCATGATAATATAATGATAGTGCTAGTTATGGTATGAACCAGTCATATGCATTTGTGTTGAACATCGTGGCTGAGGATAATTTATTGTTTCCATTAGGTTGGTGACAAGGTCGCCACGTTGCTGGGCACTGATGGTGATGACCTGTACAGGAACATTACCAAGCCCAAGATCAAGGTCGGTGCCGAGTTCGTAGCCAAGGGCATGAACGTGAACCAGTGTAATTACTCCATCGGTGCCTTGGCTAAGGGTCTCTTCGATCGTGTCTTCAAGTTCCTGGTACAAAAGTGTAACGTGACTCTTGAGACTGGCCTGAAACGAGCTATGTTCATCGGTGTGCTCGATATCGCCGGCTTCGAGATCTTCGATGTAAGTTAATAAAACTATTTTGCTCCTAACACTTTATGATATTTATGAGCCATTACCATTCTTATACAAAACACTGAAAAGATGACAATTTTCTATACACATACCAATTTATAAGAGCATTAGAAACAAATGCAATATATATATATATATATATATATATATATATATATATATATATATATATATATATATATATATATATATATATATATATATATATATATGTGTGTGTGTTATTCGTATTAGAAATAGTAATAATAATAATCATAATAATAATAATATTATTATTATTATCATTATTATTATTATTATTATTATTATTGTTATTATTATTATTATTATTGTTATTATTATTATATGTAAGAATGTAATCCTATTATATAAAGTCCAACAGCACATTTCACTTGGTTCATAATTTCTAGTCGATAATTTTTTTACCTCCACCAGTACAACGGCTTCGAGCAGATCTGCATCAACTTCTGTAACGAGAAGCTGCAACAGTTCTTCAACCATCACATGTTTGTGCTGGAGCAGGAGGAATACAAGAAGGAAGGCATCAACTGGGCCTTCGTGGACTTCGGTATGGATCTGCAGGCCTGCATCGAGCTCTTCGAGAAGGTAACTTCCCACAAACTCATATACTTTTAAGTTTATATTCCAATTATGAACCATCAACTGGTACAGAAATTGAAATTATGTCAAGAAAAGTCATCTTACACATTGATAACTATTTAATTGTGAACTGTCTCAATTTATGTAACTGTTGATGGTTCATAATAGGCATATAAGCAGGTTACTTCTTAAAATATAAATTCGTCACAAGATGGCCAATAAATTTCCGGGACCTGATTTATAATTTATATTTTCGTCTTCCCTGAGAACATTTTAATATGTGTGACCATTCAACAGAAAATGGGCCTTCTCTCCATCCTTGAGGAAGAGTCCATGTTCCCCAAGGCTACTGATAAGACATTCCAGGAGAAGTTAAACGTTAACCACCTTGGCAAGTCTCCTGTGTTCATCAAGCCCAAGCCACCCAAGGCTGGTCAGCCAGAAGCTCACTTCGCCATTGTTCACTACGCTGGTACTGTCAGCTACAACCTGAGTGGCTGGCTCGAGAAGAACAAGGATCCCCTCAATGACACTGTTGTTGACCAGCTCAAGAAGTCCAGCAACGAACTTGTCGTTACGATCTTCGCTGACCATCCCGGACAGTCTGGAACCGGTGAAAGTAAAGGTGGTAAGTAACGCATCAATGTTTTTTCTGTCTTTTAGCAAAACTTCAAATTAAAACCGTAGCGTTACGTTTGGAATTCTTTTTCTCTTTTAAGTTTCCTTAGAAATATAAAATCCATATAGCTCAAATTGGTGCTCCTTACTTTTTTACGAAAATTTGCAGTTATTTTCATGTGTAACTATTGTACCATGTACAAACTAATATATCATTTCTTTCCCCACAGATTTGAGACCTGTCTTCTATCCTGATGGCTAAGATGCTCATAAACTTCACTCAGTCTTATTTTGTATCAAAGTTAATTGTTTTATTGTGCTGGAGGATAATCACATTGCAATCAGACTACACCACATACAAAAAAAAATAGTATCTATTTGCCAAAGAACTGAATTTATGATGTGAATAACAACTGGCGAATGAATGTATACAGTGGGTTGGAATATGAAATAAAGTTTCATAGAAAAATTAAAACTTTTATTACTTTTAGGTGGTCGCGGTGCTAAGTCCGGTTCATTCAAAACCGTGTCATCTGGATACAGGGTAAGGAAATTTGTTTTGCTTTCTCATAAATTTGCCTTCGGGAAAAACGTATATTAGCTCACATTCTCTTTACAATATACGTGCAGAATAATAATGTATTTATCTTATTTTCTTATCCTTGGCAGCAGGCCTCTTAGCGTTTTCAATTATTCTTTTACTTTACCCTAAAAGTACACACACTTCGTAGAATATGAATACTGTACAACACACTGTTTGGTGGTATTTCAATTATTGCTCTGGGTCACCTTTACTAAAACTGTTTACTGAAAACAATCTCGGAATTAACACTGAAATTGAGGTACGTAGTGCCAGTATACATGTATGTCAGTATATTTCATAGTTGTGTATATTTATTTAAACCTCGTCCTTGATGCCTTCTCACACAGGACCAGTTGAACAACCTGATGAGGACCCTCAACTCTACTCACCCTCACTTCATCCGTTGTATCGTCCCCAACGAGACCAAGTCTCCCGGTAAGTTGAAAATGGTGAAAATGAAGTGTCTTTTATGTCCAATTCCCTCATTAGTTGTGCTCAACATTTGATGTTATGGAACAGTATAAATATAGCAACGCAACACGACTCCAAAATTGAATAAATACTGAAACCCTCAGCAGCCGAAGATAATTTGAACTTGTTTACAACTATGCGCATTTTCTGCCCTCCTTCAGGTGTGACTGACGCCGCCCTGATCATGCACCAACTGACTTGTAACGGTGTACTTGAGGGTATCCGTATCTGCCGTAAGGGCTTCCCCAACAGGATGATGTACCCTGACTTCAAGCACCGGTGAGTTGGGGTTCATATAAACTTATTTAATATAATAGAACGTGGCTAACAATAAAACGGATGCAAAACAATACGTCAAGAAATACTAAATTACGTAGATGATAGATACTTATAAATTCCATTGTTATATCAAATACATCGCTTCCTTACTACTCATAAGGATCTCTAGTGTTGGGTATCCTGAACCTCTTTACGTTACACAACTCTGTACATTCTTCCATTCTGATACCTTTCTCACCCGCATATACTTTGACTTTGTGAAGTGCCTTTGCAGTGTTACTGTTAATTACACTTCTTTCCACAAGTCTTTTTTTTTTAAAGAATGTATGGCTCCTTATTAAATAAAATGATACAGATTTTACTCACATTATATTGTACTTCTTTTTCCTGTAAAAATATGTGTCCCATTATCTATGCGATATTAATAATTTATTGTCAGTTTAGTCCAATCATTTATATTCAATCAATCAATAAAAGTACCTTCCTCATATCTAAAAGTTCAGGCATATTAATTAATATTAAATCTTATGTGTTGTATACGCTTCAAATGTTGGTTGTACGACGCCAATCTTCTCACAGCTACGCTATCCTGGCATCGAGGGAGATGATTGAAGCCAAGGACGACAAGAAGGCCGCCAAGGCTTGTTTCGTAAAGGCTGGCCTGGATGAGGAGCTGTACCGCTGCGGCAACACTAAAGTAATTATAATTAGTCTTTTCTTTCTTTGGCTTTGTTTTGGTAATATCCATTTGGTGATATTTAAAGATCCATATTTCGGAGTATATTATAAGTCAAAACTAACTTCGGAGGAAGAAATACATGTTTTATATATGTCAGTCTGAAATTGCCAAAGGAATTTCTATTGCCTAATTTGAAAACCCAGGTAAATCTAGTCGCAAGTCAGTGTACGCGGCTTGTTATGACTTGCAAGTAAACATGATTGACTTTCATCAGGTATTCTTCCGCGCTGGTGTCTTGGGCACTCTAGAGGAGATCCGTGACGAACGTGTGTCATCACTCATTTCCTGGCTGCAGTCATGGATTCGTGGCTGGAAGAGCCGAAAGTATTATAAGAAACTTCAGGATCAGCGTATTGCTCTCATTGTTGTCCAGCGCAGTCTGAGAAGGTATAAGGTGATGCACGCCTGGCTCTGGTACGGCCTCTGGAATGCAATCAAACCCCGTCTCAATGTTACACGCATCGATGACGAGCTTCGTAACCTTGAGCAGACGGCCGAGAAAGCTGAGAAGCAGTTCGCAAAGGAGGTTATATTGCGTAAGGAACTCGAGATTACCAATGCTGCTCTTCAAGAGGAAAGGAACAGTCTCTTGATTGCTCTTGATTCCACCAAAGGAGGATTGTCCGAATTTCACGAAAAGCAAGCCAAACTTCAGGGCCAGAAAGCTGAAATTCAATCACAACTCGCTGTAAGTTAGCCAAAAGAGGGAGTGGACCAAATATTTTACTTTTCGCTGTTAACACTTCTGATTCACTTAATTATATAAAGACCTTTAGTATGAATAAGTCAATATGAATAAGTCAACAGAAATTATCTTTCAGTGATATATATATATATATATATATATATATATATATATATATATATATATATATATATATATATATATATATATATATATATATATATATATATATATATATATATATATATATATATATACTTTTTTCTCAAACAGGAAGCGACCGAACGTCTTCGTAAAGAGGAAGAAGCCCGCAATTCCCTGGTCCAAGGCAAGAAGAAGAGTGAACAGGAGATTAACAATATGAGAAAGGATTTCGAGGATCTTGAAACAGGCATTCAGAAGCTTGAGCAAGACAAATCCGCAAAGGATCAGCAGATTCACACCCTAAATGAAGAGATAGCCCAACAAGAAGAACTTCTTAATAAGATTAATAAAGAAAAGAAGCACCTTCAGGAGTGTAACCAGAAGACCGCCGAGGATCTTCAGAGCATCGAAGACAAATGCAATCATTTCAGCAAAGTAAAATCAAAGCTTGAGTCCGGTCTTGACGAGCTTGAAGACTCACTCGAACGCGAGAAGAAGTTACGTAATGAGGTTGAGAAAGCCAAGAGGAAAGTTGAAGGTGACCTTAAATTGACACAAGAAGCTGTTTCTGACCTCGAGCGCAACCAGAGAGAGTTAGAGAACACTCTTCAACGTAAAGATAAAGAGATTTCTTCACTTGCCAATAAGGTTGATGAAGAACAAGGTATGGCAATTAAAACACAGAGGCAGATCAAGGAACTACAGGCCCGCATTGATGAGCTAGACCAAGAAGTTGAACAAGAGCGTTCTAATCGTGCCAAGGCTGAGAAGGCTAAAACGAACCTCGCCCGCGAACTAGGAGAACTGGGAGATCGTCTGGATGAGGCTGGTGGAGCCACAGCCGCCCAGATCGAGCTAAACAAAAAGCGTGAATCTGAGCTGGCCAAACTTCGCCGTGACCTCGAGGAGACCAACATACAACACGAGTCTGCTCTTAATCTTCTCCGCAAGAAACATAATGACGCCATCAATGAACTGTCCGAGCAGGTCGACTATCTCAATAAGATGAAAGCCAGGTATGATTATATATATATATATATATATATATATATATATATATATATATATATATATATATATATATATATATATATATATATATATATATATATATATATATATATATATATATATATATATTTGTTGACTGGATTCATTATGGTGATAAGGAAATGTATAATGAAGCAGGAGTTTCATTCTGTCTTTCTCAGACAGAATGATACCAAACAATGTTGTTATAATGTTTTTACTGTGCTTCACTAACGAAGGTCTTTAAGCGTGTAACAAGGTTAGTAATTACACTAGTCAAACAACATTAAAAAATAATGAGTGATAGAACTCTCTAGGTTTACAAAATTGTAGTACAGTAGTAGAGAAGAGAGCTATAGGCTCTGAAGAATGCAGGAGGTGTAGGAGGAAGGTAAAGTCAGAAAGTGGGAAATAAAGTGGGAGATTGAAGGCAGGTGGGCTTTACACCTTACGGTTTACAAAATAATCACAGACAGAAATTTATATACCCCTTCACGGGTGATCTCGCTGTTTGCCCGCAAATACGTCCTCCTCATTTGCCGTTTACTCTCACTGTCTCCGTCCTCATGCAATAGATACAAGTAATAGAAGCTCCAAAAAGTTGTAATAGAAGCTCCAAAAAGTTGTTGGTAGCGAAAGTCAGAACGGGGAAGAAGACAGAGGAAGAAGCAGGGGGGTAAGGAAGGGAATTGTAGTGGGAGAGATAGAGCCGCGGCTTGATAGATACATGTAATAGAAGCTCCAACAACTTGAGCGGTACCGCTCTTGTCTCGCAAGCGAAATGTCACGAGTTCGATTCCCGGGCCGGCGGAAAGTTGTTTGGACACTCTTCCTGGCCCCCTTGGTCCCTGTTCACCCAGCAGTAAGTAGGTACCTGTTGTAAATAAAAAAAGTTGCGATTTCGTATCCAGGGAAAGTTGTTGGAGCTTCTATTACTTGTATCTAACACAATCTGGAGGAGTGGTGACCCGAGGATCACACACCTAACATAGACAAAAACCAAATTCGTGCGCTTTGCGCTAACCAAATAAACGCAGTCGTGTAAAGCCACGGCACTATCTCTCCCACTACAATTCCCTTCCTTACCCCCCTGTTTCTTCCTCTATTATCTTCCCTGCTCTGACTTTCGCTACCAACAACTTTTGGAGCTTTTATTACTTGTATCAACTTTCCCTGAATACAAATTCGCAACTTTTCGATTTACAACAGGTCCCTACATACTGCTAGGTGAACAGGGACCAAGGGTGCCAGGAAGAGTGTCCAAAAAACTTTCCGCCGACCCGGGAATGGAACTAGTGACATCTCGCTTGCCAGTCAAGAGCGTCCGTCCTCCAATTCCAAGTTTAGAAGCTCCAAAGTTGTTGGAAGCGAAAGGCAGAGCGGGGAAGATGACAGAGGAAGGAGCAGGAGGTTAGGAAGAGAATTTTAGTGGGAGAGATAGAGCAGTGGCTTTACACGACTGCGTTTATTTGGTAAGCGCATAGCGCACGTATTTGGTTTTGTCTGTGTTAGGTGTGTGATCCTCGGGTCACCACTCCTCCGGATTGTGTTAGTTCCAAGTTTAGAAGCTCCAACAACTTTCCCTGAATACGAATTCGCAACCTTTCGATTTACAACAGGTACCTACTTACTGCTAGGTGAACAGGGACCAAGGGGGCTAGGAAGAGTGTCTAAACAACTTCCGCTTGCCCGGGAATCGAACCCGTAACATCTTGCTTGCGAGGCAAGAGCGGTACCCCTTCTACCACAGGCGCCCCTTTCCGCCCTCTTCGCAACGCTTGATTATATATCAGTATCCCGGCGACATGGCCAGGCTCGACTCAAGGGAGCAAAACACAAAACAAAGATAAAACACCAAAGGAAAGATGAAACGATCTGGTTGGATCCAGTTTCTTTCTACTCCTACTGTATTTCAGTTTCACCACTTTTTCTTCAACCCCTAATAATCTTCTTTCACCTCATAACTCATGACTCCAAAGCCAAGGCCAGGCTCAGAAAGACTTCCTTGTGGTTTGATGTTTTATTTTGTGTTTTCGTCGTGATATAAGCTGCCTCGATCGTCTTTTTTCATATCCTCTATGCAGTGTTTCCGCCTTCTACCATTTTAACAGGTGGCCATGACTTTCATAGTGAAGCACTAACGAGTTTGATGTACGATGGTTTCTAATGTCATTTTTATGCACATTAATTCTCGCCCCCAACACCCCTTGAGGTTTCCCCATAGTAAGCAACGACACAAGCACTTCATGGAATCTTATATATGGCACTTTTTTTCCTTATCATTATTATTGTTTTTATTATTATTATTATTATTATTATTATTATTATTATTATTATTAGTAGTAGTAGTAGTAGTAGTAGTAGTAGTAGTAGTAGTAGTAGTAGTTTTTTTTTATTGTTATTTTCAGATCTCTTGTTCACCACGTCCTTAATTTTCGTGCCCAACGCGTAATCTATTATCATTCCCGCCCTCATTAAAACCTGCCAACACTCCAAACACGCTTTGACCGCGGCACCGTGATGAATTCACTTTTCTTTTTATCTGTGAATCTTTATTTCCCAGCTATCTTCTTAGTTTTAATCCCGGGCAAACGGCAAGATGACCCACTAAGAGGGTATATAAGGGACTGTCTGTAGTATCATTCTCTCATTCTCTCTGAAGAAGACATTACGCCGAAACGTAAGAGAATAAGACTCCTGCTTCATTCGTGAATTACACGAAAGCGCTTGGGAACTTCGTGTTTTCTTTTTCCTTGTGGTTATCAGCATATACCTGGATCACGCGCACCTACAGTGATTTATATATATATATATATATATATATATATATATATATATATATATATATATATATATATATATATATATATAGAGAGAGAGAGAGAGAGAGAGAGAGAGAGAGAGAGAGAGAGAGATGTGTTTTTTGTGTATGTATTTGTTCTTTTTGCGATCTCCAGCTACAGTTTTAAAGAAAGAGAGCTGTTTGACAGGGGGATGCACATGCATCCCTGAAGTATCAGAAACGTAAAATGCCCCCATAAAAAAAAAATCTAGTTTGAGGGGTTAGGTGCAATTAAGCTAATAAAGTGCAGGTGATTGTGTTGTGGATGTAGTGTAGATGAGTGTAGACGAGACCAGTGTGTTTGTGTGTGTGTGTGTGTGTGTTATTTCTTGGTGCACTTATTAAAAAAATATTAATTGAATTTATATCGATAAATTCAATTAATTTGGGGGGATAAAATTAATTTTTTCAGGACTGAGAAGGATAAGGAGTCTATTAAACGCGATGCTGATGATGCAAAGGCAGCAATGGACAGCCTGTCCCGAGATAAGGTAAGCTCTACAGGTCTTGTTGAAGGAAGGTTTAACTTGCTCAGTATTTTTTATATGGAACTACAGCAAAGATTAATGTTTATAATAAATATCTTTTCTATTTTGTAAGGTAATCCTAATGTATTTTTTGCCTCTACTGAAAGAAGCTTTTAGGCTGTGTATAAATTTATCTAAAAGTTTTAATAAAATATCTATGAAATCAATTTGCCCGAAATCCACAACAAACACGAAACTTGTGGGATAATATATTACATTAATTAAAATGGTCAGGAAATATTATTAGCATCAATATGAATCAGAAGTTAATAATTACATTTTTTTCGTCCAGGCTGCTGCTGAAAAGACGAACAAGCAACTTCATCAACAGTTCAATGACCTTAACAGCCGAATTGACGAAGCCAACCGGACACTGAATGACTTTGATGCTACGAAGAAGAAGCTTGCTGTTGAAAATGCTGATCTGCTTCGCCAAGTTGAGGAGGCTGAAAACCAAATTAACAATCTGTCTAAGCTGAAGCTATCTCTTACGAACCAGCTTGAGGACGCCAAGAAATTCGCAGACGAAGAGGGCAGGGTAAGTTTCTCTATATATGCTTAAAGAAAACTTTTTGAACCTCAGTTAAAGAATTAATCTGCCTCAATACGAAGATATGTAACAGACAGTATACTTTAATCTTGAACTTTTTTTTTCTCAGGAGCGTGCAACCATTCTCGGAAAATACCGCAACTTGGAGCGTGACATTGATGCACTTCGCGAACAGCTTGATGAAGAAGCTGAGGGTAAAGCTGATGTCCAGCGCCAACTGTCCAAAGCCAACGCAGAAGCCCAGATGTGGCGAGCAAAATATGAATCTGAGGGGATTGCCCGGGCTGAGGAGATTGAGGTTGCTCGTGCGAAACTTGCTGGTCGCCTAGATGAAGCAGAACTACAAATTGAGCAACTCAATGTCAGGAACTTGAGCCTTGAGAAGAATAAACAACGCCTTAGTTCCGAACTTGAAGATATGCACGGTACCGTTGAACGTGCACAAGCTCTTGCCATTGCTGCAGAAAAGAAACAGAAGAACTTCGACAGGATCATTTCTGAATGGAAGTTGAAGGTTGACGACCTTGCTGCCGAGCTTGATTCTTCTCAGAAAGAGTGTCGTAACTATTCATCTGAACTCTTCCGCTTTAAATCAGCCCATGAAGAAAACATCGAAATACTTGACTCTGTCCGCCGCGAGAACAAGAATCTTGGTGATGAAATCAAAGACTTGATGGATCAAATTGGCGAAGGTGGTCGATCCTACCACGAACTAGAGAAGAACAACAAGCGTCTTGAAATCGAAAAAGAAGAGCTTCAGGCTGCTCTTGAAGAAGCTGAGGCTGCTCTTGAACAGGAAGAGAACAAGGTGCTTCGTAGTCAGCTCGAACTCAGCCAGGTCAGACAAGAGGTTGACAGGCGCATTCAGGAGAAGGAGGAAGAATTCGACAACACAAGGTAAGTAATGTACTTCTCAACATTTTATCGATGCCTGCAATTTAATGGAAATTTGCACTTCACTTCATTTTTTTATATACTATATTATAAACAAACCAACTACTTTTCAGAAAATGCCACATGCGTGCTATCGAATCCATCCAAGCTTCTCTTGAAGCTGAAGCCAAGGGCAAGGCTGAAGCTCTTCGCCAAAAGAAGAAGCTGGAGTCTGATATCAACGAACTCGAGATAGCCCTCGATCATTCCAACAAGGCTAACTCTGACCTTCAAAAACATATCAAGAAGCTTCAGAGCGACGTTAAAGACGCAGAATTACGTGCTGAAGAAGAACAACGTATGGCCTCAGAGTACCGAGAACAATATGGCATTGCTGAACGCCGAGCAAACGCTATAAATGGCGAATTGGAAGAATCCCGCACTCTGCTCGAACAGTCTGACCGTGGTCGTCGTCATGCAGAGTCGGAACTTCATGAGGTTAATGACCAAGTGGGCAACTTCACTGTCCAAAACAATGCTCTTGCCATTTCCAAGAGGAAGCTGGAGGCTGAAATGACTACACTTCAGGTAAGTAAAACTTTGGCAAAAGTTTTTAACATTCATTTTTCCGCTACAAAATTGAAGAAATGATAAGGATTAAGATAAGATAGGGTTGATCAGCGTCCAGTATATTTTCTCAAACAAAACAACTGGAATGCAATTGAATGACTGACTAAAACATGTAAGTGTTCGTGTACAAGGAAGATCTTCCCATTGATTTCATAGTATCAATATTTGCCTCATTACCTGAAAATCAGTGCATTAGGATGTCCCATTTCAGAACAATTAGTGCAATAAACCATGTGTCTGAAGTTTGATTAAACATTTCAAATAGAATGGAGACAAAAATAGACACTAATTTATCAGAAGTTCAGCGCAGAATTAGAAAGAGGATTACGAGATTTAAAAAAAAATGTTGACTATCTCTTAATGGGTTTAATAGAATTATTTGGTAAAGTAAAACTTAGAGAACTTATAGGTTGGAGATACTAGAATTTTCGAAATTCTTTACTAGCAACAGAAAGTTGCAGTGCTAGTAAGTATGACAATATAAATTATTGCTTGATTTAGGATTATATAGGGATTTGAACGAGGCTACGTGCTTAACGTATCTCCACCATTGCGTAATATTCGTAATTTTTTGTGAGAGAATTTATAAGTAGCGATGAAAGCACATACAGTAAGTACTGCAATATTACCCTTATTGCAGATAACGAAGACACAATACGAAAATAGGTGGTCATACGGAAATAATAATTCTTAAAAAAAAAATCATAAAATAAGAATTGTATGAGCCATTAGGGGACTTTAACAGGTGGACTATTTCGTGTATGTAGGAAGTGACATAAGCTGAGATGGTAGACGTGAAAGATAAATTAAAAATAAAAATTGATATAGTAGGTATATCATACACTAACCTCAAAGAGCTTTCAAAAGGGGGCCATCATTTTTTTTTTTTTTTGAGAAAAAAGACAGTTACATGCAAATATGGTCACTAACATGAACACTTACTGGAGATGCCAGAAGGTGAGATGCCTTGGAAATGTAGTGCTACAGGAGAAAACTAGATATAAGTTTTGCTCAAAAATAAAAGAAAATGAAAAAGTATCAAATTTGCCTAGGGAAATGAGAGAAATTGGGGAAATTTATAGAATAAGAAAACGAGATGGATTGGCCATATAGTTAGGGAATAGGGGATAAAGACTGAATTTCATTAGTTAAAACTAAGAGAAGTAGGACCCGAGAGGTATATAAAATTTGGGAGGGCTGATTAAGCCATCCAGAAAATGTATGGAGTAGACGCGCATGATTGCCAACCATCAGACATGAGGATGGCGCTATTTGAAATTGATATCATCCATATACCTTCTTTACCCATTTTAGGCTGATCTGGACGAGATGCTGAACGAATCAAGGAACTCTGAGGACAAGGCTAAGAAGGCCATGGTTGACGCCGCCCGCCTGGCTGATGAACTCCGCGCTGAGCAGGAACACGCCCAGACCCAGGAGAAGATGCGCAAGAGTCTGGAAATTACTCTTAAAGAACTCCAAGTTCGCCTTGAGGAAAGCGAGAGCAACGCCGCGAAGACCGGTAAGAAGGCTTTGAGCAAGCTGGATAGCCGCATTCGTGAACTTGAAGGTCAACTGGACGATGAATCTCGGCGTCACGCTGATGCTCAGAAGAACCTGAGGAAGTGTGAGAGGCGCATCAAGGAGCTCACCTTCCAGGCTGATGAGGACAAGAAGAACCAAGATAAAATGCGTGATCTTGTTGAGAAGCTGCAGCAGAAGATCAAGACCTACAAGCGCCAGATCGAGGAGGCCGAGGAGATCGCCGCCTTGAACTTGGCCAAGTTCCGCAAGTCTCAGCAGGAGTTGGAGGAAATCGAGGGGCACACTACTGTAATATATTCCTAGATTCATGGGCTATAAGGTTAATATCCATAATGAATTCCTGCAATCTTTACAATTTTCAGAAGAACAATATACAATCCTGTCGTAATTATGGCATTGTTATGTTCTTATATTTTTCACTAAAATATGAAGATTACTGTAACACTTACAAGATATGATATGTCAATATAACATGACTAAAAAAAAGATAATAAGAAAGCCCATAATTTAACTTTTAACTTCTTTTTTTTTTTGCAGTTTACATCTATTCGTTGAAAAATCTAAATTAAAAGAGAAATAAAAACTATATAAAATATTTATCTTGTTTTAATTTAATAAAATGAACCTTCGTTTATAAAAACTTATACTGTACTGTACATTCCCGACTGCTTTGATATGATAGGAGCAAGTGTCGCTGTTATCCGTTTACAGCTACCAAGATTACTTGTCAATACGTTCATGCGTTCTGGGTTTTTTTTTTCAGACAACTGTAGCATTGTTTATTATCATCACCTTTATAAAATGCATTTCTTCATTCTTCTAAATCACTTTTATTGATATTTTGACAGTCTGATATTACTGCTATTTAAATTATCTGTTTTTATTCAAGCTATGAACATTTTGCGAGAATATTTTTCCTCCCTTTCGCTTTCATAGCTTAAGGAGTCTCCCCTATACTACATTCTAGGAACTCCCACAATCCAATTATACTTCTGTCTCTTAATTTTTAGTTGTTGTCTGACTAGTATAATTGCGAGCCCAGTAAAGTGCTTAAAGACCTTATCTGTTGATTGTGGGAATAACATCCTTGGAGACTCAACACCTGCCTTAACTGTTGATATGTGGTAATGAAATTATATTGACAAGATTATTTTGCTCAATGCTCTTTGTTGAATTTCTCGAATAATTATAGCAGCTTACCCGTTCACGCGCCATTCTTCACAGTGCAGCAACGTATACTGCTTTATCCATATTAGTGTTGCTTAAAATACACCCTCGGCGTTTTATGCATCATATAAGATGTCAGTATCGTGCCGGAGCTTTGATCTTAATAACCAATTGTTTCCATAAATCCTGCATTTTTATTACTCAATGTAGTCTCATTTACCACTCTCCTATTTATCCACTCTAACTCACTAAACAAAACGAACGTTTAAATTGAGCCCAAGAAACTCGGCCGCCACCCCCCTTAAGTAACATGTCATTCGAGCGAAAGAGCCACCTCCAGTTATCATTGCCAAAGTACTCAGCATGTACAGTACAATAGTAACGCAGACCATTAAACATTTCAACACCACTTGTAACATTGACCTTTAACACACACAATTATATTTGGTGCTCTGACTATACATTCATGTGAAGGCCCATCATCTTTTTTTTTCTCAACAATTAAGCACTAGAGACTGTACTGACTTTCAAAGAATTTTATATACAGCAGTTACCTTAACGTTTGACAAATAAGCTCGAATTTGGCTAATAAGGATTCATATTAAGTTTCATCAGTATTTTTATAATTCAAAATTGTTTGGCCCAATCAATCAAGTAGTAGGTAGTAGGCAGCTGCCAAACAGGGAGGTCTACCGCCTGGGAAGGTATTGGAAGCATAATGTGTTGTCTAATGGTAGACCCTGCTGCCCTATGGCATCACGAAAATTGTGACCAAGTCCCAGGTTGCTGATCTGACTTTCTGCCTCATTTACACACAATTGCAGGTCTCAATTGTTTCTCATACTTTGACAACACAACATACATAATGTATATCTTTTCTCACTCTTGATTTATATTTGTTCGTTCATCATCATCATCATCATCATCGTCATCATCATCATCATCATCATCATCATCATCATCATCGTCGTCGTCGTCGTCGTCATCATCATCATCATCATCATCATCATCATCATCATCATCATCATAAAAATCATCATCATCATCATCATCATCATCATCATCATCATAAAAATCATCATCATCATCATCATCATCATCATCATCATCATCATCATCATCATCAATCAATCAATCAATCAATCAATCAATCAATCAATCAATCATCATCAATTTTCACCCCCCAGGCCCCGATGTGGGTCAGTGACCTGTGCCCGGGTGGGCTAATCCCCGTAAAAAAGAAAAATCAATCAATTAATCATTCAATCCACGTAACTTCCTAATATACAGTAAGAGGGTTGGCGACCACAGTCCTCGACGCTAAGCGTTCTCGGGCTCATAACCTGGAAACAAGTAACTTTAATGACAACTATAATGTAAATCAAAACAATACAAACGGGCACACAGTACTGTATATTGAACTTGGTAGTAATTTTGCCCAGTTCGTCAAACGGGCTCCGAACTTAAATCAAACAATTAAACGAAATTGTCGTATCCTACTTTAGGTTATCTTATAATAGTAAACGGTGCCACCTTGAATGAAACAGCATATACGAATTAATTTCCACGGACGTATTCTTTAAAGCTTAATTGTCGATTATCTTTTGGTACACGGTTATCCTTGCGCAGTGTGTTATCACAGGTAAACATATAACTGATGTGTCATTCTCTTCCTTCACCGGTTCCATATTGGTTCACTCTGAGAATCTTGCTCCATGTTAACTGTGACTTTATCTCATTTCGAAAGACTTCTCCACGTTTACATTGTTAATATAAACTACTTTGCTCCTTAGGAATATAAAGTTGGTTGTCCTCTGCCTATTTCCAGATAGTTTGGGATAATGTTAATTAATGTCTACAAAATAATTCACTCGATATCCGAGTCACTTTTGTGTTCATCACCTGACCATTGTAATTATACTGAGAAATGAGACAGTTATGAATTAGCTAAAACAATGTGCATGTATTGCTTATGTATTGTAACTCTTTATACTTTGATTACTGAATTCTATTTTCTTGGGTGGTTACAAGTCAGGAAACTATATTCCTGTCATGTGACTAAACTGTTGTGAAGTTGGAATGTCCTCGTTTGTTCTTACCTTTACTGGTTTATTATATATAATTTGAAGCTTCAGGAGGAGAATAATCGATTGTTTATTTAAAGTTTTTATTTTATTACTCGCAAAATTACCCGGCTTTATTCGGTTTATGTCTAAACCATATAACCTCGACTGTCACAGTTTGCCCTTCCTAACCCGGGTAATCACTTCCCGCAATCACCGTGGCGATAACTTTTTGGTTCTTGCCAAGATGCATAACCTCCCGAACCATATAATATGTGTGTAAACTTTCAGGACTCTTAACTGCTTCCATTTTGGAGCTATGGCTAGAAAAGATAGACAGAGACTCACAGACCTTTTCCTATTATAAATTATATTTTTATATTTTTTTATTTTTTTTATTTATTTTTTTTTGGGGGGGGGGACGAGCACATAAAACTGTCTGCATAAACAGGAATAAAGCATGAGATCAGCTTCAAATAGTACTATGTTTTACCCGCTTCCCCCCAAACGATTTATTCATACCTTTCCTAATTAACTTGAAATTATGGGAATATAATTTCCTGAGTCTTTACCGCCTTCAAAATGTAGGTAATTACAATATAATGGATAACATGAAAAAAATAATAGAATGTTCTTGTTTTTAGATGTCCCACAAACCCTTTTCCTCTAAGTGTCTCTGGTTCGCGTCAATAGCACCCTTAGTCCGCCCAACTGTGAATCAGTAACTAATTCAGTATTTCTGATATAAAGGTAACCAAGTGCAGTGTTACAGTAACGGTTACAGTGTCTCCTTAAACAAGATTTAAGATTTAAGTACCGTACAGTTACCTTTCTGAGTTTTGGTCTGGTCAGTTAATGCATAATACAGTAAGTCGACAATGGGTTAGTTTCTGCTTGTTGGCCAAAATTGTTACAATTGATTAAACTGGGAGTCGGCAAACTGAAATCAACTTTCAAATCTGGAAGATGACGCGTTCTATCGTTGCAGAATCCATACTGCTTATTTTAATGTTTCGCTGCCCCTTTCGGTAAAACATTTGTACAATGGTCATTTCTGAACTTAAATTTAGCTTCTAAATACGCTTCTAATTTATCAAATGTGATATGCATCATTTCATTCTCTTCATTAACTGCTCTTTATTCTTCATTTGATTATAAATCTACTTTCCGATCTCCATTTTATTTTTTGCAATATAAAAATAACAAGATTCTAAATCCTGTAGTATACCTGATTGTCTTTTATCATTCATCTCGAACTTCTGTTAACCTGAATCACCTCTTTTACATAATTGCATCCATTCTTTGTATGTCTCAAACAGCGAAGTTTTCGTTGCACATCCCATTGTGACTCACCCGTATATGATGTCAAGAGTAATCTCCAAAGACAGGGTTTCGTGACACATTGCATTCTTCACCATGTTCTGTAGTAAATGTGCGCGTGTAAAAATAAAAATAAAAAATAAATAAAAAATAAAAAATCTCAAAATCTTTTAATTCGATTTGGGTTAGTGGCAAACCGAGTAAAGATGTTGACTACTTCTAGAAAAACTGAGTCAATAGTTCATGTGCTAGGCTGGGTAATTGTTATTATGATCACCTTTCTAGTAGTTACCATCCAATCTCAATCATGTATGCGTAAAATATTTATATGAATCAATATTCTCTAAATGTTAAGGCGATGGAATTACAAGATATGTAAAGTGTTAAAATATATGTTAACAATAATAGCTGCCAATTGCTTAAACCTACTAAATAGTGGCTGGCTGGGTTATGGCAAGTGTTAGGAAGGAACGTACATCTAATTCATTTAGATGTACAGAAATAAAACAATTTGGGTATATAGTTTTGCTTTGCTGAGTGTATTGAACCTTTTTCTTCTATAATGTGAATGACGTATACAATAATATCATAAACTTGTATATTGGGCTTATTATAATAAAAAATGGAATTAGGTTACGTAAATATATATAATTTATTTTTCTTTTGCCAGTATTTCTCATCAATACATTCATTTTGTTTATATTTTCAAAAATTACTATATTATTTTCGCATAAAATAATTATAGATTACACTAAACAATTATTTCATAAATTTATATGAGCTATTTCAACCGAATAGAATTTATTAATATGCTCTGAAACTGACATTATAGCCCATACGTTTGTAAGAATGGAGGCCAAGAATATTAAGCACTTCCTGCAGCTTGCTCTAGCTCCTGTTGTGTTTTGCGGAACTTGGCCAAGTTCAGGGCGGCGATCTCTTCTGCCTCCTCGATCTGGCGTTTGTAGGTCTTGATCTTCTGCTGCAGCTTGTCGACAAGGTCCTGCATCCTCTCGTGGTTCTTCTTGTCCTCATCGGACTGGAAGGTGAGCTCCTTGATGCGCCTCTCACACTTCCTCAGGTTCTTCTGGGCGTCAGCATGACGACGAGACTCATCGTCTAACTGGCCTTCCAACTCATGAAGACGGGATTCCAGCTTACCCAAAGTCTTCCTGCCAGTTTTCAAGGCACTACTCTCGCTTTCCTCAAGTCGAAGCTGAAGATCCTTAATGGAAACTTCCAGACCCTTGCGCATCTTCTCCTGGGTCTGGGCGTGTTCCTGCTCTGCGCGGAGTTCATCAGCCAGGCGGGCGGCGTCAACCATTGCCTTCTTAGCCTTGTCCTCAGAGTTCCTGGCTTCGTTCAGCATCTCGTCGATATCAGACTGAAATTGGTATAAAAAATTATCAATTGTATATTTAACAAAATAAAAATTTCATATGGAAACAGACATCTAATACTACAATTTCAACAGCTACACAATTTAAACTTACTTGAAGGGTTGTCATTTCTCCTTCCAACTTCCTCTTGGCTATAGCGAGGGAATTGTTCTGGGCACTCAGGCTGCCCATTTTTTCATTGGCATCACTAAGCTCTGACTCTGCCTGGCGACGACCACGGTCAGACTGTTCGAGAAGTGTACGTGATTCTTCCAATTCACCATTGAGAGCCTTAGCCCGGCGATCAGCAATACTGTGTTGTTCACGGTATTCAGAGGCAAGACGTTGTTCTTCTTCTACCCGTACTTGTAGGTCCCTCATCTCGACCTGAAGTTTCTTGATATATTTTTGAAGGTCAGAGTTAGCTTTATTAGAATGGTCCAAGGCAACCTCGAGTTCACTAATATCAGTCTCCAATTTCTTCTTCTGACGGAGAGCTTCAGCCTTGCCCTTGGCTTCTGCCTCAAGGGAAGACTGCATGGTTTCAATGGCACGTTGGTGAACTTTGCTGAAAGATGAAAACACTCAAATATAACACTTTACATACTCTACATATACATACATATACACAATACTGTAAATATCAGTGAAGTAATAAAAAAATATATACTAACCGAGTGTTATCAAATTCCTCTTCTTTCTCCTGAATACGCTTGTCAATTTCCTGTTTGACTTGACTGAGTTCAAGCTGACTACGAAGCACCTTGTTTTCTTCCTGTTCAAGAGCGGCCTCAGCCTCCTCAAGAGCGGCCTGCAGTTCATCTTTTTCGATTTCAAGACGCTTGCCATTCTTCTCCAGTTCGTGGTAGGACCGACCACTTTCTCCAATCTGATCCATCAAGTCTTTGATTTCATCAGCAAGGCCTTTGTTCTCGCGGCGGACTGAGTCAAGTGTTCCAAGGTTTTCTTCATAGGAAGCCTTAACGCGGAAGAGTTCAGATGAATAGTTGCGACACTCCTTTTGGGATGAATCCAGTTCGACAGCAAGGTCGTCAACCTTCACCTTCCATTCAGTTATGATTCTATCAAAGGACTTCTGTTTCTTTTCAGCAGCTATTGCTAGGTTTTGGGCGCGTTCAGCTGCAATATGTATTTCGTCAAGCTCAGAACTAATTTGTTGCTTACTCTTTTCAAGGCTCATATTTTTTACATTGAGTTGCTCAATCTGTGATTCAGCTTCCTCAAGACGGGCAGCAAGTTTCAAGCGAGCAGCCTCAAGCTCCTCAGCCCGGGCAACTCCCTCAGACTCATATTTAGCGCGCCACATTTGGGCTTCAGTGTTGGCTTTGGAAAGTTGGCGCTGGCTGTCACTTCTACCTTCAGCTTCTTCATCCAACTGTTCGCGAAGTCCGTCAATGTCGTGTTCCAAGTTGCGATACTTTCCAAGTATAGTTGAACGCTCCTAAAACGATAGAATTCAAAATATGAATATAATATATCGCTAGCTTTTGGAGCTACGCTATAGTAATTGTCCTATTTGGTTTACGAAATACCATATTATTATATATAGATAAAAAAAAAATTACCTTGCTCTCTTCATCTGCATACTTCTTTGCTTCGTCAAGCTGAGTGCTCAGGGACACCTTCAGCTTAGACAGCATGCTAATTTGGTTGTCAGTCTCCTCAAGCTGGCGTAGGAGTTCAGCATTCTCAACAGCAAGCTTCTTTTTAGTAGCATCGAAGTCGTTGAGGGTACGATTAGCCTCTTCGAATCTGCCATTAGCCTCGTTGATCTGTTGCTGAACTTGCTTGTTTCCTTTGTCGGCAGCAGCCTAAGTAAAATATTAATGCTCAGTTTTTAATAATCGTTCTGTACTACTACTACTACTGTAGTAATGTTTTAATTCGATTAGAAACAGGAAAATATTTTAATAATGGAATTGGTAATAACATGACAAACTTATGTTTTGTGATATCTTATTTGAATTTCAAAACTGCAGCTATTTTCTTGTGATGCTCTTATTACGAAAAAGATCTAGCGAAATTACACAGGTAATGTATTGGTATTATCATCTGATAATAAACATAAAGGCATGGAAGGCTTCTAGAATATCAGTAATAACAGAAATTGACAAAGATATAAATAAAACAATATAATCTTATCTGTCGTACATCCCTTATCACTGAATATTGTCCATTATTTCATCCTATTCCTCGAACTATGACTATCATGCAAATCAATGGTGAGTGTTTAGTGAACAGTGCCTGGTCTTACCTTATCCCGAGCAAGACTATCCATGGCAGACTTGGCATCATCAGCAGCTCGCTTCAGAGCGTCTTTCTCCTTCTCAGTCCTGGTATTGTTCAAAGATAGTAACAATTAACATAGCTGCTACTGAGAGAGAGAGAGAGAGAGAGAGAGAGAGAGTCTTCCCGGGCAACTATGCTAATATATTATATATATAAATATATATATAAATATATATATATATATATATATATATATATATATATATATATATATATATATATATATATATATATATATATATATATATATATATATATATATATATATATATATATATATATATATATATATATATATATATATATATATATATATATACACATATATATATAAACTTTGGAAAACAACTATCGTCCTTGGGAAATTGGGATCACTTTTTCTTTTTATTACTAAAACTTAATGGAAAAGAATTCAGATTTTGTATATTTTTTTTATTTAAGATTAATTTTAACATTATATTTAAAGTAAGTTAGGTTAGATGAAGCTAGGTGAAGGCTTATTTTTTCTATATAATAGTCATTTGTATATATTATGGCAATGAAACAATCTACTTGATCAAATGTGACCAATCAGAAATTTAAAAAATATATAGAAATTATAGCTAGCATGTAATTATCCTTGTGCACTGTTATATATATATATATATATATATATATATATATACTGTATATATATGAGTGTGTGTGTACTTACCTGGCCTTCATCTTGGTAAGATGGTCAACTTGCTCAGACATTTCAGCGACGGCATCATTATGCTTCTTGCGAAGGAGATTGAGGGCAGACTCATGCTGGATGGTGGTTTCCTCGAGGTCACGGCGGAGTTTACCCAGTTCAGCATCACGCTTCTTGTTGAGCTCCACCTGGGCGGCTGTGGCTCCACCAGCCTCATCCAGACGATCTCCTAGGTCTCCCAATTCGCGGGCCAAGTTAGACTTACCTTTCTCAGCCTTAGCACGAGCCTGGCGCTCGTGCTCAACCTCTTGTTCTTGCTCCTCGATGCGGGACTGAAGTTCCTTTACCTGTCTTTGACTCTTAGATACAATACTCTGTTCCTCCTCAATCTTATTGGAGAGTGCGGAAATCTCTTTTTCTTTGCGTTGAATGGTGTTTTCGATTTCTCTATGATTGCGCTCCAGGTCAGAAACTGTCTCTTGGGACAATTTAAGGTCTCCTTCAACTTTCCTCTTGCTCTTTTCAACCTCAGCACGCAACTTTTTCTCGCGTTCAACGGAATCTTCAAGCTCGTCAAGAGTCTGCTCAAGCTTGGTTTTCATTTTGTTGAAATGATTGCACTTATCCTCGACGCCTTGAAGATCTTCAGCGGTCTTCTGGTTGTATTCTTGCAGTTGCTTCTTTTCTTTATTTACCTTGTTAATTAGTTCTTCTTGATGAGCAATCTCTTCATTGAGATTGTGGATCTGGTGATCCTTACCAGCTTTTTCTTGTTCAAGCTTTTGAATTGTTAGTTCGAGGTCTTCGAAATCTCTCTTCATATTGGTTGCCTCTTGGTCAGTCTTCTTCCTTTCTTGGCCGACTGCAATTCGGGCCTCTTCCTCTTTTTGTAAGTGCATGGTGACATCCTAGAAATAATAGAAATATGAAAATACATAAGATAACATGTATATTAGATATATATATATATATATATATATATATATATATATATATATATATATATATATATATATATATATATATATACAGTGTTTCCATATTAACTCCAAAACTCTCTTATATGTAAGGCAACTTACAGAGAGTTGTGCTTCAAGTTCAACTTTTTGGCTCTGCAATTTTGCTTGTTGCTCAAGAAACTCAGACATATTGCCTTTCGTAGATGAAAGAGTAGCCAGGAGATTGTTCTTTTCCTCTGTTAATGCAGCGTTGGAAACTTCCAGATCCTGACGAGCCTTAGATTCATTCTCCAAATTTTCCACCGCAGCCTTGGCCCTATCTTGAAGGGCGTTAATGACGTCTTCAATGCGAGTGACATGAAGGAGGGGTTTGACCTTCTGCCAGAGATTGAACCAGACCCAGGACTGCATCGCCTGGAATTTCCTCAGGTTGCGTTGGACAACAACAAGGGCAACACGCTGTTCCTGGAGTCTGCCGAATTCTTTACGGCCGGTGAAACCGCGCATCCATGACTGCAGCCAGGTAATGATCTTACCCAAGAAATTGTCACGGATTTCTTCCAAGTTACCCAGGACACCAGCGCGGAAGAATACCTGTGGAAAATAGATAATACAATAATAGCAGTCATAAATTAATACTTAGCAAACCATGCTATTTCAGGTGACTTACAGTAACTCAGCATAATTTGCAACGAACCATTATCAGCTACAGTAGGTAAAAAGATAATGCTGAAAGCGATGATCTGGTCTGCCAATTACGTATTGATAAAACGAAACAAATACATTGATGTACCTTAGTGTTGCCAAGACGATAGCTTTCTGGGTCCAGACCCGCCTTTTCGAAGCAAACTTTTGCAGCTTTCTTCTCGTCTGCTATATCAGTCATCTCCTTGGAAGCCAAGATTTTATAGCTGCGGGAAGATATATATATATATATATATATATATATATATATATATATATATATATATATATATATATATATATATATATATATATATATATATATATATATAGCGATATAGCTGTAATTAAAAGAAAATAATTCTACAACGTAAAACTTAACACCTAAGTTACCCAGTACTTCAAAAGAAGTATCGAGTTTTCATTCTGTAAATATTTAGGTTATAACTAACAATCATGGAAACATGGTATGTGATAATATATCCTCTGACAAAACACATACAAGTTTACAATGTAAGTTAATACTAAAGTTACGAAAACGTTTGAATAATTTTTAAGAAGTTTGTTAATGTCAGCCTCATAAGTATAAGAGACAATCCAAAAAATTTAAGAAACATGATCTTTCGAGGTAATAAACAATATATTTTTTTCCTGGTTCAGAATATACATATTTAATTGCAATATAAATTTCAATATTTTCAGTAAACTTGGAGAAAACTCACCGGTGCTTGAAGTCAGGGTAGACCATCCTGTTGGGGAAGCCCTTACGACAGATACGGATACCCTCAAGTACACCGTTACAGGTCAGCTGGTGCATGATCAAGCCGGCCTCAGTCACACCTGACGAAAGGCGATAATATTCGTAGTTTCATGCTTCCATAATTTATCATTGGGGACAAATTTTTATGGGATGTATCAAACCTCCATTTCTTGGTTTTTGCTACAGCCTTTTCTAATCTTTATAATGTAATAATAATGCAAAAGTAAAATAATGTTTGCTCGGTGCCAGAACAATACAATTTGATAATGAAATTATTCACGAAATTATCATAAAATATAGTAAGTACATATTTTTTCTGTGCTTTAATTGCTTTAATCGAAGGACCCATGTTTGTGTGGGTAACCATGAACAACTTTATTTACTATGGTGTTATGGAGAACAACAAATGAAAATAATTTCCCAGAAAAGAACAAAAGTGTTAAAAGTTATTGATGACAGGTGAATCTCAGAGGCATTTCATCAATAAGGAAGTCTTGTGTGAAATACAATTCTTGTGTAAATATTTGTTTTGACTCAAGTGATATTTAGGAAAAAGTCACTTATGCCAGACAATGGTTTGTATCGCATATACTGTATGGGATACAAGTCAGTTGCGCATCTCTCAACTTACCAGGAGACTTGGTCTCGTTGGGGACGATACAACGGATGAAGTGAGGGTGAGTAGAGTTGAGGGTCCTCATCAGGTTGTTCAACTGGTCCTGTGGGAGAAGGCATCAAGGACATATAAACCACCCTCTCAGGCAACTAAGAAAGAGGACTGGTGCTAGCATCAGTGATAAATGACCAGAATCAAGTCATTCTGAAGGATGCATTTATAGCTGGTAGAATTGTTTGTGGATTTTCTTCGTTCATTAATTTTAACGAAGATACATGAGAGAGACAAAATGATCAGTAAGTGTTAGTACTGAAAATGTCCACCGTAAGAATTGTTATAAAAATGTAAACTTTGTTTTTAAATTTTTTTAAAGAAAATGTTTTTTGACGATTAAGGTATTTCAAGGCACAGAGGATGGGAGACGCTAAAGTAAAGCAAATGCACATACCCTGTATCCAGAAGACACAGTCTTGAAGGAACCAGATTTTGCACCACGACCACCTGAAAGTAACCAAATGTGAATGCATTGCTTAAGATTTTTTACTGAAAAGTTCAGTATGAGATTTAGGTTATTTGTTACCAATGATTCACAATGAATTACAATTCCTTTAGTTCATGAATATCCAACTGTTTGGGACCAACAGTATCAGAAAAAATTGTGGAACAGGTTAAATTGTAAAAACTTCTATATTAATTTGATTTTTTTCCTCAGGCACCACACTATAAAAATTATTAGAATCATGTCTGCCTCGGCCATCAAGTTACAGGATGAAGACTGGAATCTGTGGAGAGAGAGAAGGGACATTGTTAGTGTAACTTGATATTGGCAATGTATATGAAAACCCGATGTAGTACATAATAACATGAAAGCACTGATTATTAATATGCTCTTTTATTTTACATTATTCTGAAACAAATGCAAGACATTAAGAGGTGTTGCTACCACATTTTTACGCAGTTTTTACAAACACAAAATAATGAAAAACAGACTTTCAATACTTACCACCTTTAGACTCGACGGGACCAGACTGTCCGGGATGGTCAGCAAAGATCGTGACGATAAGTTCGTTGTTGGACTTCTTGAGCTGGTCAACAACAGTGTCGTTGAGAGGATCCTTGTTCTTCTCGAGCCAGCCACTCAGGTTGTAACTGACAGTACCAGCGTAGTGAACAATGGCGAAGTGAGCTTCTGGTATACCAGCCTTTGGTGGCTTAGGCTTGATGAACACAGGAGACTTTCCAAGGTGGTTAGCATTTAACTTCTCAGAGAAAGACTTGTCAGTAGCCTTGGGGAACATAGATTCTTCCTCAAGGATGGCGAGCAAACCCATTTTCTGTCGAAAGTATAATATATTAGTACTTTCTGTATTAACGAAGATGAAGACTATGATATTCTCAAACACCTAATGTACCTGTCTTTAACTATTACCTTCTCGAAGAGCTCGATGCAGGCCTGCAGATCCATACCGAAGTCCACGAAGACCCAGTCGATGCCTTCCTTCTTGTATTCCTCCTGCTCCAGCACAAACATGTGATGGTTGAAGAACTGCTGCAGCTTCTCGTTACAGAAGTTGATGCAGATCTGTTCAAAGCCGTTGTACTGGTGGAGGTAAAAAAATATAGATTATAATTCATAGTAAATTAAGTTGTCTTAATAATAATAACATTGATAATAAGATTAATATATATGTTATATCATGACAAAGATTGCAAACATTGCCAGCAATACGCTCTTTCCTTTTCATTCAAAATTAATTATGTTTTATAGCGGTGTCTTCCATACATATGTCTGCACAATGCCTTAAAATTAAAAGAGATCACTTTATTAAATATTCACTGTAAAAAAATTCCATCACAAAACATATGCAAACAGCAAAGGAACATCATAACTTTGTTACTTACGTCGAAAATCTCGAAGCCGGCAATATCGAGCACACCGATGAATGAATGACGCTTTTGACCAGTCTCAAGAGTCTTGTTACAAATCACAACCAGCCACTTGAAGACACGATCGAAGAGACCCTTAGCCAAGGCACCGACAGAGTAATAACACTGGTTCACGTTCATGCCCTTGGCTACGAACTCTGAGCCGACCTTGATCTTGGGCTTGGTAATATTCCTGTATAGATCAGCGCCTTCAACACCCATCAGTTTGGCAACTATGTCACCTTTCTGAAAAAGAAAAGAAATTAACTAAATTTCTCTATCTAATTAACAAACATACTTCTAAAAGGTTCAAATGAGCCCTAAGGATATTACAAACTAAATTTTTACAAAACGCTGTAAGAGATAAGAGTGATTACCTCAGTACCATCGGGTTCAGCCTGCTCCTCGCGACCCCTCTGCTTAAACTTTATCTCACCCATGTGCATGACAGCGGCGGTGACCTTGTAGACTTCTTCAACGTTTCGTTTTGTGAAGCCAAGAATGTCGAAGGCGTCCTAGAGTTAGAAGGCAATGTGAAGTAAAAAATATATACTCTTGTGCTTTGATACATAGATGCAAACAGCAAAAGTAGCATCTCTAATCGATATTCGTCATTAATACATATCGATTGCAACTTTTGTACACTTTCAGTGAAACACACACAGGTGGTTGGGCCGGATAATACACCTAGTTAAACCACTCACGTGACAGAACTGCATGTCCTCGCCGTCATCAATGGAGGGGACGGTGACCTTGCCCTGAGACACGTAGTGATAATCGTAGATGTCGTCACTAAGTAAACACGAGGCTGCAGAAGGGAAAAAGTGTGAGTAATGGATCCCTATGATTAAGACTCATTTTTCTTATGCATCCCTTCTTGAAACTAAGGAATTCCTTCTTGGGAAAAAATATTATGTGATAAGTGGTCATATGCTATCTTCCGTGTTAGCTTTTAACAGTGTAAGTAGAAGTGGCCACTGAGAGAACACTTAGTCACACCGCTAAATTCAAAGATCCAACCGAGATTTATAAAGTAGAAAGTATCAAAGTCCGGCTGATTATTCTCTCAGGTTTGGACTTTAAACGAGTGTTTTAAAACTGAAGACATAAAGCAAAGGGGACAGAATATCGATTAATCGTCTTAGAATTCTTCGATATTCAAACCAATCCATAATAGGAGCTGCACTACGCAACAGCACAACTCACTTAACAGAAGTTTTCTCTGCTTCATCAGCGGAGGAGACAGTAATGTTGCTGCGATATTGTTGCTGTAATTTAGAAAACATCTTTTAAATGAGGAGCAAAGAATGTCACGCCAATGTGAATACCTAAAATATTAATGGTGCAATTGTCGTGTGGACACACACACACACACACACACACACACACACACACACACACACACACTCACACACACACAAACAGATTTACTTTACGTACAGACAAAGCGACAGACAAACAGACAAACACCCATAGCCCACGATAGTTTAAACAGTCATAATTGGAAATTATTGCCTACTAACCAATTTGGTACTTGTAATGTGTTACTCAGAAGACAAATGAGTTTTAGTAAGAAAACTAATGGGTACGTATCGCATTTTAGAGCTATTTCGCATTGAAGAATAGTATTTTGTTTATAAAATATTATTTTGTCATTGTTTCGTTTATCTCTGAAGCGATGTTTTTCTCAGGACACGCCATACTGGGACAACCTTTATATAGTTATTAAGTATTACTAAAAAATATCAAAAAAAAAAAATCTTAAGGCACTCGGAAATGTCGAAGTTTCTGGCTTAATGCCCACTTCATAATAACGATGAAAATAAATTGAAATACAATTTTTATTTGTACTAAAACGTAAAATAATAGAACATATATATATATATACATAATCAACACCTCACTCCGCCAGTATTCGAACCCACGATCTTAAGACTGTGACCTCGGAACTTTACCTCTGGGCCACCAGGACCACTAAAGTCAGTTCCCCACCCACGATCTTAAGACTGTGACCGGGGAATGTTACCTCTGGGCCACCAGGACACTAAAAGCAGTCCAAGACTGCTTTTAGTGTCCTGGTGGGGTGAGGTGTTGATTATATGTAGAAGTCCGCGTGCTTTATTCGGTTAATGAAATAATATATATATATATATATATATATATATATATATATATATATATATATATATATATATATATATATATATATATATATATATATATATATATATATATTTTTTTTTTTTTTTTTTTTAATACAATACCTCCCTATACACTGATGTAAAATGGGGACACATAAGTAAAGTACAAGAGCCATAAAAAATAAATACTTACGCTTGAGCTCCTTAATCTGGTCGGACATCATCTCGTAGAAGATATGGTAGGAACGCTCGGCGGGCTGCTGGGAGATGACACGAGCCTTCTCCAGCAGGTAGACCTCAATATCAGCACCGGACAGCTTGCCATTTTGTTGGAAGTGGATACGGATGAACTTACCCTGTGTAGAGAACGGATGGCATGACCTCATGAAACTTGGGTTAGACACATTAAATGAACACTAATTTAATACAGAGTTTTGTTTCTCAGAAAGTTACAATAATATTTTCTACTTTATGGTTATAGAGAAGAGAAGATGGTTCAACTCACGAAGCGGGAGGAGTTGTCGTTACGGGTGGTCTTGGCGTTACCGAAGGCCTCCAGTACAGGGTTGGTCTGGATGATCTGGTCCTCGAGGTTCTGAAGTGCAAGTGAGAGTTGCTTTATTACTACCGTGTCGGAGCAAACTATTTGACGAGACCCGGTTTGAATTTTGTTTATTTAAAACACCGAAGTATCTAACTAAAGGCTTTAATAATTTAGCAAGAGAAAATCTGAAAAAAACTTCCATGCATAAACTTACCTGTTTGGCTACCTCGCCCTTCTTCTTGGTGGTGGCGCCGACGTTGGCGAAGTAGGAGAGTACCTTCTTGGTGTTCTCTGTCTTACCAGCACCAGACTCACCGCTGTGGTAGGAAATAAAGTTATTCCGTTATTGAAAGATAACAAATATGTCAAATGGCAAAAACTGATACAGGAACACTAAATACACAGGTGTAGTCCATTACAAATTATATTATCATTAGTGTGATAATTGGCCTCATTTATCAAAGTTTAATATTATATTAGTTCTACTTTTCGCTTTCCATATACATGTTTTTCTTCTTTATTAAAGTGTTTATGTTCATACAATTATAGGTTCACTTACGTGATAAGCATAGACTGGTTCTCGCCAACTGTAAGGAGAAAGAGCAAATATCTTTAGAGGTGGTGAGTTTATTTCCTATCTGTTGACAATATATTCCCCAAGTTTATATGATCTTTGGTATACTTAAGCCGTGACTGGGTTTTGTATTTGCATTATTTCTTACGACTTGCAAAGAAAACAAGATAAACACTCACGTTGCATCATGTTCATGTAGGCACCGTCGGCGATGGCGAAGAGATGAGGAGGCACTTCATTACGCCTCTTACCCTGGTAGATCTTGACCGTACGGTTGGTGTAGATGGGGTACCGCTTGTAGGGGTTGATGGCGATACAGAAGAGACCGGAGTAGGTGTAGATGAGCCTGTGGACGTAACGGCTCTTCAAGTTGTACAGGACGGAGGCATCGTTAAGGTAAGTCAAGTTAGACATGTCCTCGCATTTCTCGTACTTGGGAGGATTGACCTGTCCTACTTGGTCCTTCTTCCAATTCTTGGTCTCACCACCTGCGTAGACAGTAATAAGGTCACCCTTGGTCCCTTGGATCTCACCTTCGATGAAGCCTTCCTTAGGATCAGGGATCCAGCAAGACTTCTTGGAGTCATAAGGCTTGGTGGCATCCTTCATCTTCATCTCCATAGAGATGAACAAGAACTCGGAGGGGTCAGGGTCGGGACCCGTGCTCTTTTTCACGTGGCCGGGCATTTTGGTGGTGGGTGCCTAAAGTTGTCGAAGTAGATAGTGAACTTCGATGGTATAGTTCGTTCAGATATTCCTGTAAGGCAAAAAGAAGAATTCATAATCATGTTAAAAGCAAAAATTCTAATATATTGCCAGGAAAGGCCAAGTATGGGACCGTATGAAGAGAGATGATGTAATATCATGGTAACAGCCTGGGGCCTCCGAGCGAATCCCCACAGTGATACCCTTTACTTTGCATTATTTGTCTATGGAATCATTGATTTTCTTAAAAATATTTATTATTGACTCTTATTTTGGCAAATATGGGGAGATGGCTCCTTGCAGAAATAGTCGTATAATTATGAATTTCCTACAGGCTACGAGACAGCAACCGCTAAGCTAAAGCTGGCACCCAGGGATGAGTAAATTATTCCCGAGTTAGTCACACAGTTCATTGTTTATTACAGAACAAAATCAAACCACATGAAAGCATATAATTATGTAGTTAGTGCTACTGAGTTCAGATACCTCCTAAGATAATGATTCGTTCTATGAGTCTCTTAAAACCATTCTAGATTAACCCTTTAGAGGGCAAAGTATTACTTAAGTATTTTATTATGGCTATCGCCAGACGATTTTATTCAGCTGAGGGGAGCCCCTGTCCGCTAAAGGGTGAAGCATTGTGACAGAAAACAGCAGCATCTTTTAAACACAGACAATTAACACTTGAATAGGAAGGTTAAGGGTGCTTTCCCTTATTCACTGTTATAGACAGTTACAAACACGCTCATATTTTGAAAACAAATCTACCATTCTCAACAAGTTTTGTATAAATTAAACTCAGTTATTTTAAAAGCCAAAATATAGCACTAAGTAACCATGAACTCTCACGAAGACAGTACGTGTACTAAGTAATAAGACAAGCAGAAGCACAGAGAAAGTCACTAGTTTTCCAACACAGCAATATTCCTCAGGATAACTTACGACACGCTTCACTGCACTACCACCAGAACACCACCGTCTCAAGCACCCACCGGAGCGCGTCTGAAGGTGACCCGCAAGCAAGGTACCAGGTCAGTTAGCGCTGAGACCAAACGGGAATTGAGGAGAGGTTGGGGGGGGCTGGCAAGCAAGTATCATGCAAAAATAGAGCCAAGCGATCACGCTGACCATCGCCTTTTCGAGTCGAGTCTCTCCACCACAGTACACCCGGGTAAATTCTTCTGTTACAGACTGAAAATTATAATAAACCATCGGTTTATGTTTGTTTTTTGTTTGATTTTTCATTTTGTGTATAAATAAATAAATATATATATATATATATATATATATATATATATATATATATATATATATATATATATATATATATATATATATATATATATATATATATATATATATATATATATATATATATATATATTACATTGACTTCAGTGAACACCTTTCGACTTATTGTTATAGATATATTAGGGTTCCGGGTGGTAGATCGCCTATGGCCTTTATCACAGGTAGAACTAATACTCTGCCTCTATATTGCTTTTTTGTGATATGTTTATTAAGGTGAGGCTCTCAAGAGACATTCTGCAAGATTCCTCTGTTTCGTCGGAATCTGTCTCAGATTATTGTCATATAGCCAAAAGTCTCTTGGATGCTACAGTAATGTTGTCCAACTTTATGTTAGTGTTACCAAGCTTTATGCTAGTACTACCAAAATTTGAGTTAGCACTTCCAAGTTGTATGCTATTACTATCAGGCTAGTATTGCCAAATGTGTGCTAGTGCTACCAAGCTTTATGCTAACACAACCAAGAATTAAATTAGGACTACCAAGCTTTATGTTAGTACTACCAAGCTTTATGCTAATACTACCAAGCTTTATGCTAGCACTACCAATCTTTATATTAGTACTGTTAGTCCTTATGCTATCACTACCAAGCGTGTGCTAGTACTACCAAGATTTATGCTAGTACAACCAAGTTTTAACTTATCACTACCAATCTTTGTTAGTGTCACCCAGCTTTATGCTAATGCCAGCAAGGTTTATGTTTATGCCCCCAAGCTTTATGGTACTGCCACCAATCGTTTTGATAGTGCCATCAGGCTTTCTACCACATCCACCAAACTTTATGGCAGCATTGTTAAACTTTACGTAAGTGCCACGAAAGGTTCATGGCAGATCTTGATCGTCGGTTTAAAAAGTGCTGCACTAAGGATATACAGATTCGCAATTGTTCATCCGCATAGTTCCTGAAAGGTATGCACTGTACTCCGTGCTTACCAGTGGCCGCAGTGGGGTTAGTAAAGAGTAGCTATAGGGTTGGTTACTTGGCGTGAGACCTGGCCCCGAGAGATTCTTACGATGCCAAATAGGATGAATTTTTAATGGATACATAATCCATTAAGATAGAAGGATTCGGTACAGGTTGGTTCAGTGACATAGACCTTGTTCCCGGTGGTGGAGTTTAGTCCATTGCATTCCTGACGTTTTTGCCAAATAATGGTACTTTTTATTCTTGGTACAAAGTGATGGGAATATAGTTCATGTAACGTAACCAAACCCTAAATATACTTACTTAACTTAATCTTACTTAGCCGAATATAGGTACCGTTTGGTCATGTTATGATAGTAAACGACATCTTGAATTGAACAAAGTCAATTTTACCATACGAGGATTCCTTTCCACCAATTAATAGAAATAAAATTTAGAGAATCCTTATGTGGCAAAGAAAAATAACATAAATGTTTTAAAGTTGAATTAGCCGCTTGATATGGTTGTGAGATATGGCAATTAGCCATCTCTCACTGTATCGTGAAGCTAAAAGACGAGAGCAGGAAACCTCTATCAGAGGCTGACTAGACACCAGAGGAGACTCGCATTCTTGCGGGAATAGCTACTCTCCCGTAACGGTTTCTATACGCCATAGCCTACTGGATCTTGTGCGCATGCACTGATTCTCGCTGTTCAACAGCAATTTCATATTAATAAGTGACTCTGTCATTTGTCCAAATTTTTGACACCTCACGAGCGCTCAGGACTGACAACCTTAGCATTCCCTCCCCACAGTTAGTGTGAGTGACCCACACAACTGCAAGGGAAGCGCTAACTGTTGTCCTTCCTGACGTGGTAGGAGGGCTTTCTCTCTTTACTACATTTTTTCTATCACTTACCCTGGCCGAGGCACCTGCTGATTTGTCCATACTTCAGTATTCGTGCTACAGCCCTCCCAGTGGTGCACACCTCACAGAGTGGGATTGTGTGTTTCCAGTGGGGGTCGGGGAAATAACCTGAGCCAATCCAGCAGTGACGTCTGTGATCGTGCAGGCACACCACTGTTCGGGGGTCGCCCTTAAGTAAAAGTCTTTTTTTTTTGGCACTAAGGGCCTTACATAACCTTAGTGCACCAACATCAGTATATGTAAAAAACAACTAAAACTGTACCCAAGGGGTGGTTCCCAGCCACCCCAACCATGCCCTCTGGGAGGGGAAACACCAAGCCGCCCTCTACTCGTCCAGGCAGGGACAAGCAGAGGCGGGAGACCAATCATAATGACCCACGACTGCCAAGACCAATGACAGACAAAGGCAATGTAACGACCACCGACCAAAACACCCAACAAAGACGTAACATTGAAGTGTCAACTGAGAAGGCCAGAGTAATCCACTTTCGGACTGTTGACACGTCCACCTCGTTTGACAAAATTAATGGGTTCATTATCCAGAAGGCCATTAAGGATCAGATAGGGGACGTGGAGAAAGTCCGAAAGACAAGAAAAGCGAACTCCAAGTTACTGTTAAAGACGCACAGCAAATGAGGGACGCCTTGAATCTGAAAACATTTCATTCAGCTATAGTGGAACCGTATATCCCAGCATTTCTCAATACCTGTAAGGCTGTAGTTAACAGCTACGAATTCCAGGGAATGAGTAATGACGAAATTAAGTACCACATGAAAGATCAAGGAGTCGTCGATGCCTTCGTCTTTAATAGGAGGACCGCAGACGGAGAACGAAAACGATCAACTACAACTGTACTGACCTTTGACGGACTTGTTAGGCCCACTCATGTCTTGGTAGGATATGAGAGAGTCCAAACGAAAACATACGTTCCATTTCCCATGCGATGTTTCAACTGCCAAAGGTTTGGACACACTGGTATGCTCCAAATGTGCTCAAACCGGACACAGGGACGATGACTGTACACAAACGGAGGAAAAATGCTACCACTGTTCGGGTCAGCATGCTGCCTCAGACAGGAAGTGCCCTTCCTACCTGAGGGAGTATGAGATCAGTAGGGTGAGAGCAGAGAATAATTTGGACTACAAGGAGGCTAAGAGGCAGGTGGAGATGTCCTTGCAGACACCAACACCTGGAATGTCCTTCGCATCCGCTGTATCCAAAAACACCTCACCTCCCAAAATGTGCACCACTGGAACACAGACTGAGACCAGGACCATTTCAACACAAACTGACTCCACACTCACCGGTTATCCAACCACAGACGCCAACGACGAGAACTCAAAGACAACTATGACTACTAACGAGACTAAAACTAAAAACAAGTTAAACGTAACCACAAAACCCAAACAGACTCACGACCTTGTCTACCCCGATGTAAGGAGGAGGTCGCTTTCTACCGAAAGCATGACAAGAGACTCTTCACCACAACCAGTGTTTCGCATTGTTGAAACACACCGGGGGCAGGGAGCCCCTGCCGAGCAGAGTACTGGCTTTTTGGAGCCGGGACACTGCTCATTTGATGCGGGGGATCCTTCCCCGGCACACAATTCCCCCCCCCAGAAACAAGAGCAAAGAAAAATAAAACCCAAAACGCTGACCATATCAACTCTCAGACTTAAAATTCAATATCATCCAGTGGAATTGCAGAGGTGCTAGGAATAAAAATGCTCAATTTCATTTACTAAAGTCATTATTCCGGCCGGACGTTTTTTGCCTACAAGAGACGCAACTTGTGGGTCACGACGACCCACCTGTATTTGACAACTACACGTCCTCCAGGGGAGACAATCTAAGGGGGGTAGCCCTATATATTAGGAGTGAATTCGCCCAACAAAGAGTCAACCTGAGCGTGAACCTGCAGGCTGTGGCGTGCAGAGTCAAGTTTCGGTCTGGCTATGTTGCCGTCTGCTCACTATACTGTCCTCCGGGCGGGCTCATTGACGATGGTGAGCTTGAGGAGCTATTTAACCAACTGCCAGGAAAAAAATGATCCTCGGCGACCTCAATGCTCGCCATTTGCGGTGGGGCAGTGTCCGGAGTGACGGGAGGGGAGAGCAGGTGGCTGCAGCTATACTCAACTCCAACTTGTCTCTTCTGAATGACGGTAGTGCGACTCGAGTGGACGAACGATTTGGCTCAGCCTCAGCTATAGATCTTTCTATAGTTGATGCTTCCTTGCTATTCGATTGTAAATTTTCTACATACGACGACTCTCTGGGTAGCGACCATTTTCCGATCTGCATTTCTTATGAGTGTGGCGCCCCAACGGCTACTCCCGAGGTGCGCTACAACCTTAGGAAAGCAGACTGGAGGGCCTACTCAGGAGCCGTTCGTATAGACACCTTTGGAGAAGACATCAACACCAAAATGACACACATACAACAAGCTATAATACACGCAGCAGATTTAACAATTCCTAAGACTTCTGCAACAACCCACAGGCCTGGAGTTCCATGGTGGACACCAGACTGCCGACGAGAGGTTTGTGAGCGAAATAGGCGATGCCGTTTATTCAATAGAATTCCATCTCTTGAAAACTTAATTGAATATAAAAAAACTAGAGCCAAGGCTAGGAGGGTTCTCAGGGAGTGTAAGAGAGAGTCTTGGCGGGCATTCGTCTCCACTATTAACAAGGATACCCCTTCCTCTGAGGTATGGTCAGCTATAAACCGGGTCAGATCCAAAGTCAAAGTTGTTGGGGATTACTGGCCTCTTCGCCGTTAGGCTATTTCGGCCGAAGCTGATTGGTTGGACTTCTTTCTTTTCTTGTTTCTTCTTTTGCTTTTCACTTTCCATTCTTCTTCTTCCTGGTCTTCTTCTTTCTGGTCTTCTTCTTTCTG